AACAATCAAGGCTTAACTACAACAAGACTGCGCACAAAGACCACTAGGGGGTGCACCAAGAAAGCATAAAAAATGCGGAGACAAAGAAACAGGACAAAACTGTCAATGGAGGATATTGAGTTCAGAACCACACTTTTAAGGTCTCTCAAGAACTGTTTAGAAGCCGCCAATAAAGTTATTGAGATCTACAAGAAATCTAATGAGACCCTCGATGTTATGATAAAGAACCAACTAGAAATTAAGCATACATGGACTGAAATAAAGAATATTATACAGACTCCCAACAGCAGACCAGAGGAGCGCAAGAATCAAGTCAATGATTTGAAATGCGAGGAAGCAAAAAACACCCAACCGGAAAAGCAAAATGAAAAAAGAATCCGAAAATACGAAGATAGTGTAAGGAGCCTCTGGGACAGCTTCAAGCGTACCAACATCAGAATTATAGGGGTGCCAGAAGATGAGAGAGAGCAAGATATTGAAAACCTATTTGAAGAAATAATGACAGAAAACTTCCCCTACCTGGTGAAAGAAATAGACTTACAGGTCCAGGAAGCGCAGAGAACCCCAAACAAAAGGAATCCAAAGAGGACCACACCAAGACACATCATAATTAAAATGCCAAGAGCAAAAGACAAAGAGAGAATCCTAACAGCAGCAAGAGAAAGAAACTCAGTTACCTACAAGGGAATACCCATACGACTGTCAGCTGATTTCTCAACAGAAACTTTGCAGGCCAGAAGGGAGTGGCAAGAAATATTCAAAGTGATGAATGCCAAGAACCTGCAACCAAGATTACTTTATCCAGCAAAGCTATCATTCAGAACTGAAGGTCAGATAAAGAGCTTCACAGATAAGAAAAAGCTAAAGGAGTTCATCACCACCAAACCAGTATTATATGAAATGCTGAAAGGTATCCTTTAAGAAGAGGAAGAAGAAGAAAAAGGGAAAGATACTAATTATGAACAACAAATATGCATCTATCAACAAGTGAATCTAAGAATCAAGTGAATAAATAATCTGATGAACAGAATGAACTGGTGATTATAATAGTGTTAACGTAAAAAAACATTGAAACCTGTAAAGAATTTTTGTGAGTTTATTTGAGACAAACTGTCGACATATGCCAGGAAGCAGAACCTCAAGGAATCGAGATAGTGCTCCGGAGAATGGCAGGGTTACATCCGTATTTATACATGAAATTCATTGGTGACACATTTAAGGAGGTGGGATTAAGCGAAGTGGGGAAACCTCTGTGATAGGATAAAAAGTAAAATGATGGACACATACTTAGGTGGGTGCAGGAACAATTAACATGATGATGAAGGAATCTGTGGTATCTGTCCTGGGACCCAGCACACCTGGTTGTGCCCCAGGGGCTCCAGAAAAAGGGAAGTCACAAGTTACTCAGACATCCCAGGGACATGTTATCATAGATGCAAAAAGACAGATAGGCTCAGTTACGGTAAAGGTTGACCTTGTCAGTGAAGATATCGGCTTAGGACGTAACTGCCCACCATAACTGCTTTTAGTTAAGGTTTAATTTCAGACCATCCTGTGTGGTTACTTTAGGTCTGCAAAACTGCCATGCAGGCCTCTCCTGAGCTTGTCAGGTCAGCATGTGGCCCCTTTCTTTCACAATAGAATCAGGGACATAGAAAGGGGATGGACTCACTATTCTTGGGGGGAAAAGGGGTGTGGGAGATGGGGGAAGAGACTGGACAAAAATTGTGCACCTAAGGATGAGGACAGTGGGGGGGGTAAGGGCAGAGGGTGGGGTGGGAACTGGGTGGAGAGGAGCTATAGGGGGAAAAAAGGAACAAATGTAGTAATCTGAACAATAAAGATTTAATAAAAAATTTTTTAAAAAAAGCAACCAAGGAATGCACAAATGGGCGGAGCAACAAATCCATCTCTCTCTCTCTCTCTCTCTCTCTCTCTCCCTTTCCTCTCTCTCTCAAAAAAATCAATCAATAAAAATGCTTTTAAAAGGTGCCAGAGGCCAGAGCACATGACCAGGGTCCCACCCTGATGTGAAATAGGGCCGCAAGGGCGTGACCTGCTCAGTTGCAAATCAAAAAGGCTTTAAAAATTAGGTCCAGCCCGGCCAGCGTGGCTCAGGGGTTGAGCGTTGACCTAGGAACCAGGAGGTCACAGTTCAATTCCTGATCAGGGCACAGGCCCGGGTTGCGGGCTCGATCCCCAGTGTGAGGCCTGCAGGAGGCAGCTGATCAACGGTTCTCTCTCATCAGGGATGTTTCTCTCTCTCTCTCCCTCTGCCTTCCTCTGAAATCAATAACAATATAATTTTTAAAAATTAGATCCAAGCCATTCCCAAAGCCTTGTGGAGAGGCATGGGGTTGGACTCTGCAGTCGGTAGGAACAACCAAATGCATTGGCTGTAAAGCAGGGGGCGGAGGGGGGGGGGGGGGACTATGGGGAACCCGAGGACCCTGGCCTGTTACAGCAGCAAAGCGGCCCCTGACCTCGGGGTCTCAGGCCTGGCCCGCAGGGAGGGTTGGAAGTGACCTGCTGGCCGCCTTGGCTCCAGCCGGCTGTCACACCCACTCGCAGCCTAGAAATTTTGCTTTCGTGGTTTAACATGGTTCCAAGCAGACAAAGTCTGGGCTCAGGCAGCTGGCAGGAGAGTTCATTTGGGAGAAAACAAATGAGGAGCCAAGCCCTGGGCCGGGCCCTGCCTCTCCCCCTCCCTCCAGCCCCCACGCCCCTGCTCATTAATGCGGAATCGGCGGCCGCTGGGGGAGCGCCTACTCTCCGGCTTCATAAACATTTGTGAGAGCAAATTTAATAAAGCTGGGAATCATACCGCTCGCGTGTCATTCCTTCATCCCGCACCATTCTTCTTCTTCCATCGCAGAGCATTTGAAATGCAAGGAGTTATTGTTACAGCAACAAAGGGGAACGACTCACTGGGGGGGGGGGGGGGCTGATTATGCGGGGGGTGGAGGGGGGAGCAGAAGAAAGAAACTAGAGGAGAGCCCGCGGGCCTTCCCGTCCTTGCGTCTTTCCCCTTCTATTGTGAATGGGGCCGGCACCTGCATTCTTTTGCCGACAATCGCTGTGTGTTGCTGCTTTATTGCCTGTGTTTCGCCATCGCTGAGCTGTGGCTGTGGAATTTGTATGAGTTTTGCACAAAACACAAAAGCGAGGAGAGCGCATCCCCCCTGGTGTTTGGTAACAGCAGGGAAGGACCACGCCTGCTGGGGACCCGATGGGGGGGGGGGGAGTGTTTTCTCTTGCTTCGATGCAAAGTGCTTTTTAAAACAAAAAACCTGCCCCTTGTCCCTCTTTCTTGAGAGAGGGATCTTACGTTGATGGCTTAACAAAATAAAAGATGTTTGCATTCCACAAACAGAAAGAACCTGGCACAGAGCTCTAGACAAAACCCAGCAAATGGCTGCTGGGAGGAGGTCTGACCTAGAGCCCCCTCCCTGCCCCCGCCTGCGGCCCCCCCCCCCCCCCAGTGGCTCAGTGGTTGAGCAGCGACCTATGAACCAGGAGATCGCGGTTCAATTCCTGGTCAACATGCCCAGATTGCGGGCAGCCAATCAATGATTCTCTCTCACCATCGATATTTCTATCTCTCTCTCCCTGTCCCTCTCTGAAATTAATAAAAGTATATATATTTTAAAGATATATTTAAAAAAAGGAGTTTTGACCTAGAAGAGGCCCCGTCCCTGCTCCATCCAGAGGCTGGGGTATACACATCTGTTCAAAGTTAGCACCCCGGTGCCCTTGGCTTTCTCACCAACTCAAGTCTTTCGGGAGCAAGGAAGCTCGGATTACTGGCAAGTGTGCTGAGCTGAAGTCTTTGCAAGGAAAAGGCAGGTGCGTGGGTGGGGATAGAATGCAAGGTCACGCGTTCATTCAGATGGACCGGGACAGCGCCCGCTGTGTGCCATTGCAGGCCTAAGCGCTGGGGGTGCTGCAGGGAGCAAACAGCCCCCTGCACTGGCCTTCCATGGAAGGTACTGATGTTACGTCCGGTGGCGGGTCTCCATTAATAGTAACCTGTGTTCAATTATTTCATGGTTGTCATGGGCACAGCTGGTGTGAGGATGACTGTCTTAACTTTGGGGAAGATAAAGTTTTGGTCTAACTTCCGTCTGGTCCCTGGAATGGTCACGTGTTTCAGGATTAGCCAGTTAGAGGCCTTCCCTGGGTTTTTTTCTGCTACTGCTATCAGAGGGAATGTCTTTGCCCTTTGTTTAAAAGGTATACGGATATTTTATCATGTGACACCTTGAAGGAAATAGAAAGCTCAAACTAGATTAAACAAAAAGACTTCATTGGCACACTCAATGAGAAAGTCCACAGACAGAGCAAGCCTCAGGTTGGGTTTGATCCAGGGGCTCTACAATGTCACCAAGGACCCGGTTCCGTGCCACTTCTGCTTCATCCTAAGCCTGGGTCTCCGGGTGGTCACAGGATGTCTGCCTGGTGACCCTAGTGCGCCAGGCTTCCTCATCTGGGCTGGGAGAGAGGAGAGGCGAGGCCTGTTCCTCCCCAGCCTTCCAGGCCAAGTCCAGCAGCTCGTCACACTGGCCTGGCCCGATCTGCTCACTGTGGCTGGGTGAACACCTGCGTGATCGGCCTGTGCCCGGGGTGAGATCTGTGAGGGGTTGGGAGGAAACGATCACTCAACCAATGATCCCAAATTGTGGAAACCACGGGAACGCCCCACAACCCCGGGAAGTCAGCGCCTGGCCGTGCATTTGCTGAGTGATTGCTTCCCCTCAACTCCTTGCAAATCTCACTCCTTCCACCTCGCTTGGCAGATCCCTGAAATCCGCGCGCACAGGGGCCCCAGGCGTGGGCGCTGCGCCCAAGGCGGCTCGGCCAAGGCGGGGCCGGGGCCACCTCCCGCGCCCAGTGCAGCTAGACCTAGCCTCCCCGCCCCCAGACCTAGCCGGACCCCGGGCGCCCAATGCTCGAAACCCGCAGATTGGGGGGGCGGGGAAGGGGGAAGGGGGGCGGGGAGCGGGCGGCCCAGCCCGGAGCCATGTCCGGGGCGGGGCCAGGTGAGCGGCCGCGGGCCTGAGCCCAGGTGCGGCGCGGGCGGCTGCGCGGCAGGTAAGGCCCGGCGGGGCGGAGGGTGTCGGCGCGGCAGATCGGCTCGCTGCTCCGGGAAGGGGGAGGGGCACGCCGAGGCGGGGCGCCACGTGTCGCGGTGCCAAGGCTGGTGCTAACCCAGGTCCCTTTCCCGGCCGCCCACCCCTCTCCGGGCTCCCCGCGCGCTCCCTCTGCTCCCGCCTCGCCCCCCTTCTCGCCCTGCGCCCCCGCTTCTCTCCCGGTGTTTGGTGTTTACTTGGTTTGGTCCGGTCCGGCTGGGCTGACTCAGCCCAAACTTTCGCTGGCCCCCCTTTTTCCTCCCCTAACTCGGGGTGTCCCCTCGGCCGGCACACTGCGCAGACTCATCGGCGCCTCCCCCCGACCCGGGCGCGGGCCCACCTGGGAGGGGAAGGCGCGGGCCGTTTCGCAGCAGGTGCCGCGGCTCAGGCTCAGGGCCCGGAGGGGGCGCTGGCCCGTCAGCGGGGGATGGAGTCCAGGAGGAAATAGGCCCCACAAACAAGCGGGGGAGGCCCTGGCTGCTTTCACTTTCCTCAAACCCTGGCTGGGGCCACCTGAGAATTCCTGGCGGCCACTGGGGCGGCGCTGGGTGGGGCGCCCACCGCCCTGGGAGGTGTGGGAGGCAGAAGGGGGACGCGGAATCCTCCAAGAGACCGCCAGCCAGAGGGGGGGATTCCTGTGCGTCCTTGTCCGTCGGGTGGGGAGGGGGAGAGCGGGGGACAGGGCCCAGACTTGGGGGCCGTGTTGATTCCAGAGAGGGCTGTGCCGTGCAGGGCTGCGTTTGTCCAGGTGAGAACTCAAAACTTAGGACCCAGCAGTAAACATCTTCGGATGGTCTCCGCTGGCAGTTTTAGAGTCTTGTTTGTGAGTTCCTCCCTGAATGTGGTGACAAACCATTCCTCAGGCCAGCACAGGGGGTGGGGCGGGGGGGGGGGGGGGACATAGGGCGCTGGCCCTGTGGACAGCCACCTCCCTGGGCCCTGCCCACAGGGACCCAGAGTGCTCTCTGTGTGACAGAGAGAAGCCAGGGGTACCTGATTGGTCAAGGAGGGCTTCCTGGAGGAGGCGACCATTGAGGGGGAAGATGGACAGGAGATAGGCAGGGAAGGGTATGGTGCTTTGGGTCACACAAAGGCTGGAGGGAACTCGCATGTAAGGGGGTGGAGATGCCTGTGGAGGAGCTGATAGTGGAGCTGGTACAGCTGACTTGGATCCCATGTCCTTAAGTCATTCAGATCTGACCTCGTTGAGATCTTTTACGGACTGGGAACCGACTTCACTAGACCCCATGGACGTATGGCATCTCTCCTGGGCACACCATCACCCGTGGCTGGGTGGCTCGGTTAGAGAGGGGACAGATAGCAAGAGCCCAGCCACCCAGAGGTGCCCGGTGCGCGTCTCTCACCACATTTAAAACCCATCCCATTCCCTGTTTGTACCCTCTTTCACTGATGGGGAAACTGAGGCACAGAGGCAGCAGGAGGAGTCAGAGAACTGTTTGTGAGCAGGTGACCTTCCCTCTCGGGGACTCAGCCTCCTGACCCTAGCGTGACCCTGTCAGCCGTCCTTCCCAGAATGGTCACCGTCGCTGGGCTGTCAGCCCTCACAGCACGGGCGGTGGCCTCCTTCCGCCCTCACCACAGCCTCAGGAGGCAGGGACAGTCACTGCCCCCTTTTACAGGTGAGGAAACCGGGGCAGGGAGGTCCCAGGGCCAGTGTGTGGAGAGCCAGGCCTTGGTGGCAGCTGTGGCTGCAGCGTCCACACCTTCCCCTCCCGGCACTGCCTCTCCCCAGGGCACGAGGTCGCCTTCGGTGGACACACTGGAGCCTGCCAGTGACTTGCCCTTCAGACCGCGTGAAACGAGATGGGGGAATGAAAGTGATGCTGTTTCTTTTCAGCTAAACTGCTTTTCCCTCCACCCGCTGAGTAGGGTTGATACTCGAGGAAGATGTGTCACAGGCATCCCGAGGCGCCCGGGCCTCCTGGGTGCATTGGCAGGGCCCCCTCTGGGCCAGGCACTGGGGGTGGGGACAGCCTTAAAGACGCTCCGTCCCGAGTGTGGCCCCAGAGCCCTTACTGTGCGGCTCCTGGGACTCTGGCCCCGGGCCAGGTTTCTGGGCCCTGGAAGGCGGGGACCTGGCTGAGGACTCTCCCTAAGTCACTTCTCCGCCCGTTTCCTCGCTTCTCACGTGGGTGTCATAAGCGGCAGGCTGTCCTGCGGCTCAGAGGGAACAGTGTCCTCATGCCGTGGCTCACAGCTGGCCCTGTGACCCTGAGTTGCTAGTCATTCTGTGCCTTGATTTCCCCACCTGTAAAGTACGGACAATCTTAATGTATGTATATATATTAAGGGAGGAACAGATTCCTCTCCAGAGAGGAAGGGAGAGGGGGAGAGAGAGAGAGAGAAACATCAATGAGGAGAGCGTCATTGATCAGCTGCCTCCTGCACACCCCCCACTGGGGATCCAGCCTGCAACCGGGCATGTGCCCTGACCGGGAATCCAACTGTGACCTTTTGGTTCATAGGTCGATGCTCAACCACTGGGCCTCACCGGCCGGGTGTTGCTGCCTTTTCCTAGGTTTACTGGGAGAATCAAGTCATTAATTCGTGCACAGGGCCCGGCACCTTTGTGTGTGTTTGCACTTCCTAGTGCCGGTCCTGCCCCCGCCGGCGGGAGAAGAGCTTGGGGAGTGTGTGCGGAATGAACTTGGGGTGCCTGTTCCTGCCCAGGCTGAGGGCCAAGCAGGTCTCTCTCCGGTGACCCCAGCCAGAGCCGGGCAGCCAGGAGTTCACTTTCAGTTGGAGCTGGTGACTGTCCATTAGAAGGAACTGGTTTGGCAGGTCAGGAGTCCGGAACCTTCTGGGGAGGTGTCCCCTTAAAACAAGCAAAGGAGACAGTGGCAGGCAGTGGGCGGGTACATTGTCACCTGCAGGACAGCTCCAGGTGGTGGGGGCCACCACAAGCTCCCCCACCTGCTTTCTCACTCCCACCGCTCATCCCAGACCCCCACCTGCTCACAGAGGTCAGCGTGGGGTCTCCTGGGGGCGCAGAGGAGATGGGACCCCGGACCCTGGTCTGGGAGGGGCAGAGTGGCCTGACCTCCCCCTGGGACCCGGGGTGCTTCTCTCTCTGGCCGAGTTGAGGGAAAGCCTGTGACCTGGCTGACCTGTCACCCGATCTTTCTGGAAGAGGCATCTGGCGGAGGGTAGGTTTCTTAGAGGGAGCGGATCTCACCACATTCCTCTATCCCACACCAATTTCCGAGGAGGCCAGTGAGGAGTAGATGTGAGTCCGACCGAATAACTTGAATTGCACTTGAGCCAATGATCATGATAGAAACCATGTATGGATCACTTCCTGCCTGCAGAAGCCAGAAGCCCCTGTCCCAGGGAGAGGGGACAGCATGTGCAAAGGCCCGGAGGCAGAACAGCCTGGTGTGACGGAGGAGCGCCAGAGGCCTGGGTGGCTGGAGCAGAGAGCATGGGGGAGCCGAGGTGGCGTGAGATGAGATCCAGAGGGCGGCAGAGCCAGGCTACAGGGAGTCTCGGGGGTTGGTAGGGGTTTGGATTTTGTTCTAAGAGCAGGAAGCTGTTGGCACTCAGGTGCCATGGGAGGTGTGGAGTAGGCGGCTGGGCTGTTCGAGTCCAGAGCTGGGAGAGAAGTCTGCTCTGAGGTCTGAGTTTGGGGGTGGAGAGCATGAGAATTAGCGTCCCTTAGGCGGGCGAGGAGGGGCTCGGCGTCCCCCACGCAGGTCTGAGCATGGATGATGGAGGTTATGGCAGAGGCCCCACCATGTCCACTTCGGGAGGGAGCAGCCCGCGATGGCAGAGAATGGAGGGAGGGAGGGAGGCGGGCAGGGGGAGTGGCCTGGGAACGCTGGGAGGCCTGGCCTGGAGGCCTCGAGTGCTGGGCGCTGTCACGTGCCTGTCTCTCATCCCACAGGCCCCCTCCCCTGGGCTCCTGTTCACGTCCCTGGCCTGGGTGAGGGCTGAGACTCGGGCGTGAGTCAGAAATGTCCCCGGCTACCAGGGAGCACACGGTGGCAGGTCCGGAAGGACACACAGACGCCGGGTGCAGGCTGAGGAGGGCCGTGGTGGAGCTGAGGGCTGCTGGTGCCCGAGGAAGCCCCTCTCCCAGCCTGGGGTGGGTGAGGCGCCCGGGGCAACGGGACGCTTTTGAATGTGATGAACAAAAGACCCAGCTCTGAGCTATACTGGCCATGTAGCTGAAATGGTCTGGAGATCAGGTACGGCTTGATCAGGGCTTTTTGTGGGCCTCTGGATCTTCAGGGGCAGTGAGTTACTTGCAGCCTTTCCAGGCTTCACCTTCATACACAGCAGGCTGCTCCCGGGGCCTCTGTTGACACAGGGCCCTGCTTTCCCAGAAGCCCCTGGGAAGAAGCCGTGTGCTGATCGTCTCACTTGGCTCCCCACAAACCTTTGAAGAGGAAGATAGGGTGACTCTTGGGGAATCAGGTGGCTCTGGGAGGTGGGCTGGGCCAGCGCCGGCAGCAGGGCCTGTGCAGGTGAGTGCACACCTGGATGAGCTCTGGGTGCCCCGGGCAGGGCGAGGCTGGGGAGAGCCGAGTCTTGGCGTTGGTGCCTGCGAGAGCCACAGGAGCGCGGGTGGCCCAGGGTCCCCTTGCTCTCTCTCAGTGCCCAGGGTCCCTGGGACCCGGCGGGGGTGGGGGGGTGGGGGGCAGGCCTCTGACAAGATCATGTAGCAGGTCACCTGGCTGCTGCGGCCTCGGGTGTCTCCCCCGGGGTCCTGCCCAAATGCCTGTGGCTGCTGGCCCCGCTGCCTGGCACCTACCTGCCTTCTCGCCAGCATCAGGCCCCAGCGGTGTTGGCCAGGAAGAGCGGGCAGTGGGGTCTGCGTCAGTCCATCGTCGACAGCTGAGACAGCTGGGGAGAACGCCTCTCCCAGGCGCCCCTGGATTCCCACCTCAGTGGGGACCCCCTTCCCAGCCGAGAGCAAGACCCCGCCCCTCCCACCTGGCT